CTTATTGTTTTACGCATTTACACCACTGCCAGATTCAGCATTTGTTGTGTGGTGTTTATTAAATCTAAACTAACTATAGTTTAATTTACTCTTAGGTGACACAATCTATTGTTATGGTGGTAAATAACTTGTTAGGTGTTGACGAGGAAATTCTGATGGAAAGTCAAATGAGGAATCAGTCTCCTACTAAAATTACTGAAGTTCTTGAAGGTCAATTGGGCATTGTAGAGCTAAATGAAAAAGGCATTTATGAAGAAACCACACCTAACATAGCAGTACATGCTCAGATGTTTAAAGCCACTCAACTTAGTGAAGAAAACATGACTTACTTAACTTTTATATCAGAATCAAATAAGAATGGTGTAGGTGCTGTTGAAGTATTTGACGATGGTGTGAAAATACCTGATGCTGCCAATGTGTCAATTGCTCTGCCAAGCAGTATATCTGACGTCATCAGTGTTTATAATATGACAGGTAATAATACAAATTCGTAATAATATAAAAGTATCTGTTGCATTGGGCTTACAGATAAATTGTTAGACCTGAAAGTTTCATTTAAAGGGTGTTCAAAATCAAGTGTATTGTTGCATACAGTACATACATCCCTGTACGCAAACAAATGGATTCCAAAGTATATTAACAAACATAAAACTGCTGTTAGAAGTGACAAGTGAAGTAAATAATAAGCCTATAATAATGATAATTAATAAAGCTTTGTACCGGAAAGTAAAATGACGAATGCATTTATTCATCATATGTTATTATAAATGTCATCTTATATAATACCATGGTTTATATCTTAGTCATCTAATAAAATATATAGCCGACAATTTTTAATTAACTCATAAAAATTGTAAAAACGATGTTTTGTGGAGTGTGGTCACACAAAAATGACCTGGTATCTCGAATCATGGCTTCTTTATGATTGTCTGTTTTGTTTCTGCTTTTAGATTTCCGGATTATAGTTATTGTTTACAATGACAGTAGACTGTTCCAATCTGCTCAGTTCATTAATGATAAATCAGGTCGCAGACCAAATAGTCAAGTTGTTTCTCTGTCAGTGCCTGAGTTAGATCGTGTTAAGCTGGACGAGTCCATCGTTACCACGTTCATTCCCATTGAAGTAACTTTTTTTAATATCATTATTTAAATAAATAATATTATTTTAAGATATTGATTAATACTGAAATTATTGATAATTATTATTGTGACCGATAACTTGCTTTTAACTAGGAACAACTTAAAACAATAAATAATATTACAACATACCAACAATCTATTTAGACTGACATTATTATACCAAAGATTATTTACTATTGTAGGAAAATGTTATTAGTCTTTCAAAGAAAATTATTAATGCGTATTACGTTCGGTCATTTCAACCATAAGTCTATCATTTGCACATATATTATACGGTATTATTTTCAGATCTCTGAAACAAACAGAAATACAACCTGCGTCTTTTGGGACTTCATACTGGATGGGGTTGGAGGATGGTCGACTGAAGGCTGCACATTTGTTAATGGATCGGAGGATGGAAGTGATAGGCAGTATTGCGAGTGCACTCATCTAACTAACTTTGCTATACTTATGGTATGTTCACCAACAACACATCCGTTTACTTAATATATGAATCTGTCTTTTTATCTAATTATGAAAATAATTATGTGAATTATTCTTTTAGTATTATTCCATTCATATTAATAATGAAAGCGATAATAATACTAATAATTATACAGCTATACTACTACTACTGCTGCTGCTGCCACTGCTGCTGCTACTAATACTAATACTACTGCTACTAATAATAATAATATTAACATAACAATAAAATATATTTATTATCATTATCATTATTATTATTATATCAATAACTATATCAAAATTATCATTTTCGTTATCCTTAATAATTTTATTATCACTTCCATTATAATTATAATATTTTATTGATATTGTTATACTTAGGCCTATTTTAATTACCATTTTCATTTTATGATTTAGTTATTGGTATTATTTAGACTTGTAACTATTGTAATTGTACATTAATCTAATGAATAAACAAAAGTAGCCAGCAAACAACTGAGTAGGCCTACTAGAACTTGCTCATTATTATTATTACTGTATTTAATGGGGTTTTTTTTTTACTATAATTTACATTAATAAGATAAGCTTGGTTACAGTATATTATTATATTTGTCTTCAGATCATTGTATGTTATTTCATACGTAATTCAACATATGTAATTTTATGCTTATTTGCCTTTTAATAGGATTTCCATCAAATGTCATCTCTTCCCCAAGCAGCAGACATTGTGACTATTGTTGGCTTAAGCATATCAATTGCATCTCTTTTTCTGACATTACTTACTTTCGTGAGTAAAAGGTATGTACATATTTTATGTTATTAATAAAATATTATTTCTAAATTAAATATTATATATTTATAGTAAATAATATATATATATAAATATATATATATATATTTATATTTATATATATATATATATATATATATAACATAAATCAAGGTAGCCGTTAACACTGTTAAATCATATATAAATCATCAAAGAAAGGTAAATACAGTGTTCGAATAAAGGACTGAATAAATACAACGTGTAGCATAGCTCTCAACGAATGTAGTCCTGTAAATAAATGAATACAGAAATTGTGTAATAAAATGCCTCTGGCGGGACTCGAACCTGCGACCTCTCGCTGTCAAGGCGAGTGTCATAACCA